CTGACAGGGTTTTTCGAGATCTCTAGGTGTATCGGTTCACGGTTGCCCAAATACTACACTTGAACACCCGCACCTACTTACCACAAAGGACCATAGGTCGGAACATCAACCCGACCTGTCCTTGCCTCGACAGTCGGCCGGAATTGCCCTTGCTCGACAATCGGATGCATCGTCATGCATTACTCGGCCAAGGGCGCGACCCAAGTCACTCCGAGTCTGCGGGACCGCCGATACACCGCCCTAACCATCACACGTGGTCTTCGACCCATGTGATCCACTAACAACAATTCACAACATTTCTGCAGCGTAACTCTTCATAAAGTCCGTCCTATGAAAGTTAACACGGCATACTTATCAACAATATTTCTGCAGCATAACTCTTCACAAAACTCACTTTTTGTGAAAGTTATACGGCATACTTATTCACAATTTTTGCAGCATAACTCTTCACAAAACTCCTCTTCTGTGAAAGTTAATACAGCAATCCTACTAAAATTTCTGCAGCATAACTCTTCACAAAACTCTCCTATTTGTGAAAGTTATAAAGCAGAACCTCTAACAAATAACAATAACTTAAGATGAACACACACATAGTGTTTCATCCTTAAGCTACAACCTGCATAAGAATTCATTAGCATGATTCTATACTACCGGGACTCACCTTGGACTCTCCTAGCTTAGTGGGATCCTTCCTCTTTAGATCGCCTAAGCTCTACTCTTCTTTGAGCTTACTAGCTCTTCACTACTCTCTCTCTCTCTCTCTAGAATTTTCGTTTTACCTTTGCTGTGGCTGAGAATGGTTTGAAAGAATGGCCTCAGGGGGTATTTATAGGGGAAGGATGGCCTGGGACGTGGGTAGCTCATCCAATGGCTATGTGACACTCATTCGTTCCTATCTACTAACCAGTGAAGACGAAACAGCAGTCCATGCTTATCCTCGAACCAAAGAAGACAAAACAGCAGTCCAAGCTTATCTCCTCATCTATATGGACGTAATAGGAGTCCATTCTTATCTCCTTATCCACAAAAACGAAATAGGAGTCCATGCCCATCTCTTTATCTCTTCAGTTTGGGTGTTTTCACATTATTGGCTGAATTCGGGATAAGTATCAACAAGACCCTTATCTTCAAGCTTTTATCCCGTGTGTTGTCTCTCCATTTGCCATAATCACGGCCCTTATCTTCTGCTCTGACCAAAGTCACGAGGCTTATCCCATTGCCTGGTTACGGTTTTGTCTCCATTGATCTCCTTTTCAGACTGGGTGTTCTTGCGAGATTGGCTGTGTCGTTTGATCTTATCTTCTGATCCATAAGCTATAATCACGAGACTTGTCTCTTAGATTAGTAGCCTATCCCTTCTCATGGTGACAGCCGCGGTTTTTGTCCCATAGATGACTCAATCCACGTCCATCCATGACTGGTTCACAATGGTGGCTGGTTTCGTCCTTATAGATTCACCCTTGGTTTCGTCCTTATAGATTCACCTTTGAGCATCAGGATTGGTCCGTCCTTGGTGGCTAAGACTTGAAACTTCCTTTGTCATTATAGATCTGATCCACAGTAACGCAAACTAGTCACACTGTGACACCTCCTCCTGCGATTATAAGCTGGTGAAGCAGCTGCTTGGGTATCGCCGTCTGATTGGTCGAATTTTGACTTCGACTACTTCTTCTTCAAACTTCATTTTCTTGACAAATAAATGTCTCTCATTCACGTGCCATTGTTGGAATGAAGCTTAGTCCTCTTGTTAATCTTCTATCCGAGCCTTTCGAGCTTCAGATGACCATTTTTCTTCTCCTTCGAACGCTTGTAGATTTTCTTGATAATTCTTCAGAATTCTTTTGACCAATCACTTAGATTTATTATTCTAAGTGTGTCAACTCTTCATCTTCTGAGATATTATGCCTCGATCAAACGATCTAAGCAATTATCCCATTATGTCCCAGACGCCAGTAAGGTCCGATATGACCATCTTGCCACTCTTCTGGGTAACTCTTCATAACACTCTAAACCAAACAAGAGTCTCGATCTTCGGACGAGTCCCCTAACGATTAACCCGTAGAATTCTCTCCTCCCCTCTGAGTAATTGTTTCCAGTAGGACGCTCACTAACTTGGGCGTCGGAGAACTTTTGGGAGAGAAATCCCCTTCCGGTCCTCCCCGAAGGCTCGTTTGACGGTTGTTTAAGTGCTTGCAGGATCGAACATGGCGCGTGCCCCGCCACCTTGCGAATGGAGAACTTCCACCCCAGAACAACGATTCGTCGCTTTCCCTAGAGGATGGAACTCGAAGACCTGGTTCCATCTCCGACAAATCATAACCCCTACGTAGTATCCTAAAATTTGCATTCGAACACTATCCGAACACTATGGTAAGTTACAAACGATGTTCTTGGGATGTGTGAATATGGTGCAAAAACATAAGGTTCTCTCAAAATTTTCCATCTTTTGTAAGGTCCAAATTTACATATTTTCTTCTTCTCTATAACGACAATATCGGTTAATCTTTTTTTTCAAATAAAAAAAGACAATATAGGATAATCGGCAGAAATCTGTAAAACCTAAGTCCATAAGAAGATAGCGCTGTGTGTGTCCAATATTACGTGAGCTAAATACATTTGAGTGGTATTTTGTTCACTCTTCTTAAGTCATTAATTGTTACGTGAGCTACACAGGTTAGTTTTTTTTTTGTTTTTCATTTATCTATTTTTTTATTTGTTGGTTAAAACAATTACTATGAAAAATGCTGTTTTGTAGTCCAAAAGGCCCAATAAAATATTGAACGGGGCATGTTATGTTATCAACATAGTTTCGGAATTGATTTTTGAAATCTACGAAACGTTAAAATTTGTTTGTCATGGAAACCATATAATAAAATTGGATTGCCAAAAATTGTAAGGTTAGGTGATTTCAACCACTAAAAAAAACAAGCTAGGTTTTTTTAGTGATGTTGTGACTTGTAAGGACTTCCGTTGTAGTAACGCCACCAAGAAACTAGAATACGGACAAAATGACATCAAAAATGCTCTTTTGTAGTACAAAAATGTGTTTCTTCTCCCAATACTATCTCATGCTCAGGAAAAATAATAATAACAATTCATTGTGACTGATCGGGCAACCAATTTTATGGGAATAGAAGTGGCTGTTTAGTTTGGGCATGGTCGATAAGTCATCTGAGTTCTGAGGTATAATATACTATTTTGGTGAGTTTATAACTTTATAAGTGCTTTAGAGAAAGAAAGTGTACCTTCGAATTCTTTGGCTGACGAATAAAATCAGGATAATTATTGTCGATCGAATATGAGATATGAAGAAGAGGAAGGTGTGATCTCCGACTAAGGGTCAAGGCACATGATTTCAAATAAAATAATGTTTTTAAGTGTGGCCTATCAAAAGGTAAAACCATCCTATATGGAGAATTCAAAAACACATTACACATTTGGCAAACTTCAAACAAGAGATAAAATAATTACATTCCTAAAACGAAACGAATTCTCCTGTGTCATGAATTACACATAATTTGGTGTTGTTCAAACAATCAAACTAAAAAAGCCTATAAAAAATTCATTTATTCGATAAAACCGATCCAGAATATTACCATACGAGCCATATCCTGATGAATACTTCTCTTGAGTGTAGTACAACAAGATCACATCAAATTTAAAAGGGAAACTCTTGTTTTACATAGAGGGTTTATTTAAGTGTTTAACAGGCCTACAATAAGCCCATTTCATAAATTTTCGAGACTACTCGACCTAGCCGAATTCTCATGTAAAATCCAAAAAAATGGTCACGTGAATTGTAGTTTTGTAAAAAGAAAAAGAGAGAATGGATCTCATGGAACAGATATTAACGGCCGATGGAACTATAATTAAACACACAAAGAAACCCAAATTTACTATTCGAGAAATCATCTGCATCATCTAAAGATTGCGTTTCCTCGTCTTTAACGATAATAGTTAAAAACAAAACTAAAATAAAAAAAGATTTCCTCCTCGTCCAACAAACAAGAAAATTTTGTCAAGATGAATTTGAAATTTTGTGTGATTTGAACACATTTAATGACAAATTAATGCATACTTATTTGTTAAGATTTGTTTTTTGTTGACAAAGTTGATATCATGCCAAATTAGCTAATCCTTCATCATTCAACTTAAATCTCACCATTATAAATTTGAAGTTTTGGATTGATCTTACTTATAGCTTTTTCTGTGAATTGAACATATTTAATAACAAGTTAATGCATACTTATTTGTTAAGCTTTATTTTCCTGCAGATCTGAATTATAACTTTTTCATATCATGTCTAAATTAGCTAATCCTTCATTATTCAACTAAATCTCACCATTATGAATTTGAAGTTTTGGATTGATTCTACTTATAGCTTTTTGTGTGATTTGAACATATTTAATGACAAGTTAATGCATACTTATTTGTTAAAATTTATTTTTCTGCCAATTTGAATTATAACTTTTTTATATAATGCCTAAATTAGCTAATCCTTCATTATTCAAATTAAATCTCACCATTATGAATTTGAAGTTTTGGATTGATTTTACTTATAGATTTCTGTGTGATTTGAACATACTTAATAGCAAGCTAATGCAGATCTGAATGACAAAGTTGGTATCATGTCTTAAATCTTAGCTAATTTAGGCATGATAAAAACAAAATCTAAGTATCATGACAAAAACAAAATCCAACCTAACCCTTATCAATAAACTCAAAACGACAAAATGACATTTTCGTACATTTCTCAAAGTCCTAAGATGTGTCCTAAAAATAGAAACTGAAAATGTCAAATATACACGTGGAACTCCTCCAGCAGTTGAGAGTCCATGTGGCAGTATCTGCGAAATCCTCTCCGGAGTAAATACGCCGGCAAAACAGGAGACTTCTTCTGCTCTTCACTCAAGTCCTAGAACCCTATAAATAAATCACCTTCAAACCCAAAAACAAATAAATCAGAAACAAATAAAAGAAACGAAAACATTTTTTTAAAGAACTTAATATGGAGAGAAGAAGAAGCTTGTTGGTTTCCACACTAATGGTGTTGTTCTTTTTCAACATTCACCATCTTCAGGTTATGAGCTGCCCTGAGCCATTGGCGTCGAACTGTACGGATCAAGACAGGAAATTATTGGAGTTTCCATTGAATTTGGAGTATCTTGAAGCTGAGTTTTTCTTGTATGGAGCTTTAGGGTTTGGTCTTGATAAAGTCGCACCAAATTTAACAATGGGTGGGCCAAGTCCAATTGGAGCTCAGAAAGCTAAACTTGATCCTTTGACAAGAGATATTATTTTGCAATTTGCTTGGCAAGAGGTTGGCCACTTGAGGTAAAATGCTTCTTTTAACTTAGAGTGTAAATAGTTTAGAGTTGTGACTTTATTCATCTGTCTAGGAGTCGGGATTTTTTTATTTTCTATAAAAAAATTACGCAAAATTTTCTCCTTAGTTGAATAATTAGACTACGGAGTTGCTTTTATGGTTGGCTAGAAAAAAAAGTCAGTTTTAATATAGAATATTCACGATTTCAAAAATATTTTACAACATTGTTTATAACCGCAAAGCTTTTAGGAAATTTGTCACATTGATATAATCTTCAAGAAATGATATAATAATAATAATAATAACAATCGCAGGGCAATCAAGAAAACGGTGAAAGGATTTGCAAGGCCACAACTTGATTTGAGTAAAAAAGCATTTGCGAAAGTGATGGATGATGCATTTGGAAAAAAATTCATACCACCATTTAATCCTTATGCTAATTCTTACAATTACCTCATTGCTTCATATTTAGTCCCTTACGTTGGTCTCACCGGCTACGTTGGCGCTAACCCTAAACTACAATGTCCCGCATCAAGGAAGGTAACAAATCCAAAAACTCTCTTCCATGGGTATATACACATAAGTCTCTTTTCGAGTTATGTCTAATGTTTCATCCAAAAGATAAATGTGTGATATATTCAAAATTTTCTATTCAGAAGTAGGACTAATGTAAGTGTAACTATAGGTTATGAAACATTTTTTCCCGTAAATTTCCGCAATATTAAATATACATAATGTTAATTGCACAAACGTTCTCCAGTTAGTAGCAGGACTTTTGGGAGTAGAATCAGGGCAAGACGCGGTCATCAGAACAATGTTATATGCTAAAGCGGCACACATAGTATATCCTTATGGTATTACTGTTGCGGCTTTCACGAATAAGATCTCCGAACTAAGGAACAAATTGGGGAAAATGGGTGTGAAAGATGAAGGTTTGGTCGTGCCTAAGTCCATGGGAGCAGAAGGACAAATTCCCGGAAATGTATTGGCTGGTGATGAGATGTCGGTTGCGTTTGATCGAACTCCGGAGGAGATTCTAAGGATTGTGTATGGAAGTGGAAATGAAAGTGTTCCTGGTGGATTTTATCCTAAAGGAGCTGATGGAGATATTGCCAAGTCTTATTTGGTTAAGTCTTAGGTTTTGTTTTGGTGGTTTTTTATAGGAAATTAAACAAAATAATTGTTGTATTAATGTAATAAGTGTTGTGAGAAACGAGAATGAATTTTTTCACAATAATAAATAAAAAAAAGTTTAAAAAATATGAAAATATACAAAAGTTACTGTGGATTAGTACTTTACTCATATGAAACCACACAACGTAATTTAAGAAAACACATCAACCAAAATTTGAGGCAGCATCCGTTAGATCATCATTGGGTTTGAATTGGAATACGTCTTAATTTTTTTTTTTTGTTAAATGATCGATGTTGGTCATTTTCCCGATTGGGCCCTAAAGTCATTATAGGCTTTTACCGGATCAGATTCAAGTGTGAAGCCCGACATCAACAATTTGACTATACATCAAATGTCTCCAGTGTCCAACATAAACAACTTTGATTTTCCCAATTCGTCAAGACGTACACTATATTTCGGAAAGAAACATCTCAATGTTCATCGATGTTCATGAACATTTGCTAAATCATAGTTCGCATTTAAATCTATTGACTAATCTCATATCTACTAAGCTTCTAGCCTTCTACCATCCATTACAAGGACTTGTCTTATGTTCCACATATGGCAACACCGTTTTTATTGGTCGATCTCTCGATATTCACAATACTCATTGTGTTTGCGAAATTTTATTAAAAGTATTTTTTTCAAGCAAAAAACATATTTCTTAAATGCTATATTCAGATTTTCATAGTCTCAAAATGCAACCGCAAACGCCAAAATAGAAAGATTTTTGTTTATCTTTTGGAAGATGTACATAGTACATACTAAACAAATGCAAAAATATTTGCATAGAGAATCTGAACGAGTTTGTAACAAGAGAGCATATAGACAACTAGTGCCAAAGTTTCTCATCTATAATATTCTCTCACAAATCAAGTGTCTCGTGTATTTTTTTAATGTTGTTAATGTTATTCGTCGTATCACTTTCTTTTTTCATGTAATATGAAGAACTCTTACAAGTTACACCTACTGTAAAATTGCTTTTCTTCTACTATTTCTAGAAGGCAGAGAGAATTGAGTTTTTACTACAAAAATCTATTTCCGCTCTACACTGATTATTAGCGGCAACTTTTTTCTTATACACGCCAATAATGATAATTATACATTTACACTTATTTAAGCGATGTGAACTTCATCTATAGTCAAAATTCAAATTAATAAAGTTATAACTAAAGAAGATGTGAGTGGAAAAAACGAAAGAAAAAGAAAACATACTAAGATCTAAAATTAAGTAACTTTTGACTGATGCAAAATTAAGTAATCGTTTTTTTTGCTCCGAGAGCGATCCTGAGTGCGATTTGCATTTCTGAGGGAATCTTCTTCTATCTTTAATTCCGGTCGGTGGCTGATGCAATTCAGTGTTGGTACCGTGCCCCTGATCACATTATATAATTATGTATTTGTATATTTTCATCTTTCTCCTTTTCAATTTGGGTTGGGTTTCTAAATTTTTGTGCATTTTGAATCTCATCACTTTCGTGAAAATTGGAGTGTCATCTACATCTAGCAAACAGTTAGATGATTGTGTTTATCTTAAATGCGATGGAGGATTCTATATGACGCCGGCAACCCCACCACATGCTCGCGCGATGGTTGGTGGTGCTTCATAATGATCGGTGACATTAGTCAGCGTTGATCCTCTGTTTCATTAACTCGCCGTCGGTTCCAATGGAAGTTAAGCCAAGGTGATTCACGAAACAGTCAATCCATAAAATCAGAATTCTTTCTCACAGATCGCTCGGCCATGGTGTCGGTTCGTGAGTGGCAACGTTCTCCGTTAGTGGAAACGAATATTCATTGTTCGTTGTAAGGGGTCGATTTTATAAAATCACCTAGGACAAACATGTCATCTCCATGAAGAGTTATGTGACTCTTCATGATACTCGACACTTGCCTTACCGATCTGGTGAAGGAATTGAATTCAAAATCCAACGAGTGTTTTGGTGTCTTAGTCGGCAAATTTGGGATCCTGGAAAATCACGGAAACCACCATGGAAGAGAACATGGTCCGGCTTCAAAGATTCGAAGAGACGACGTTTTGGATTCAAAAATGCACTCTCTTTCTTGTATGGCGATATTCAAACAATCACTAAATGAAGAAGAATCAAGACGCTGATGTGTTTGTTTCAAAACACAACAAAACTTACAGATACAAATTATTACACAAGCAGCTATGCACCATGAGTTCACTTTATTATCAAAAAAACATTAATACGAACTAATTGGTATCAAAATGTTGAATTCACAGATCTAGTATCGAGAGCAATGGATTTTTGCTATGCAATTTGGAGTTTGCAGAAACTAAAAAAGCATATCAATTACAAGGAAAGAGGATGGTGTACGAAGGAAAAACATAACGGAGATATATATTCATTTACGAGTAAGGTGTTCGTGACTAGAATGCATTATGTAGTTTTTCTTTAATTTATCATTTTAACATATGGTGCATATAGCTGCTTGTGTAATAATTTGTATCTTGTAGATTTGTAATGACTGAATGTGTATTTTTGATATGATTTTAATGAAAATTTAGAGAAAAAAAAAAAAAAGAATCTAAGATCTGAAAAATTTAGTCGTTATCCACAAGGAAAGTGTGGCATGATTTTATACGACATTCAAAATGTGGACGCATCTGTTGGGAAAGTCTAGGCAACGACAAAAAATGCAAATCATGTCACTTTGCGTACTTATGTTATCTTGCAAACTTTATGTAGTAACGTATAATTTCAATCAAACATATACAGTTTTTCGTCATGATCAACTTGAGTCTTCTTCATTACTAATGCCTAACGGATTTAGGCTTTGATTTATCAACTACTCAATGGTTTGATTTACTAATGCCTAATGGTTTGAGTTGCCAACTTGCCATTGCTGCGTTCCAATTTCCAAAACTCTGTAACCGCAACTTTGCATAGGAATAATATTGTGATTGAAACAATTCTCTACTTCAAAAGTATCATTTTCGAATTCTTATTACTTCTACACCATTTTATTTCAACATTTACAAGCAAGGAGTGTTTAGTTCAAATGATTCAGGGAACACAGTATTGGTTTGATGCGGATTATAATTAAATTTGAGTTGATCAGCTAACTATATGTTATTCTCTAAAATAAAACCCTCTTTCTTTCATTCTAATCGAATTACGTTTTGGTTTTCAGATACAAACAAACCATTTTATTCGTACCAAAACTCTTTTTTTTTTAGAACTTGTTTGATTCCATTCAGATCAATCAGTTCGACTTATCGCCAATTGAATTCTCATATGTGATACTCCAAGAAACAACAATGTCTCCGCCAAAACTCGAAAAAGAGAACAAGACAAAGTCTAAAACTAATTTTTTTAAAACACAACAAAAATTACAGAAAACGAAAAAAGAACTCTAACAAAGAAAAAGCATTAGACAGCAAATCGTTCGAGAGACATTGGTTATTGGACTCACTAGAAAAAGAAAACAACATTGCATAAATGAAAAGAACGAAGAAAAGAAAAAAAAGCCCCCTAATTAAAACTTAAACTAATACTTTGCTCCATAATAAACTTACATGAACCCCAACCAATGATTCAAACAAATCTCACGACTCCAAATTTAAAAAAAAACATAAAGCTCTTCTGCATCTTTTTGTTTTGTTTGAACCGTGTTGTTGTTGTTGTCAGTTCTTTTTTAGAAACTACCTCTTTGGAGGTCTATCATCATCTTCATCATCACTATCCTCCTCTTCCTCTGCTCCTCCTCTCTTTCTTTTCGGAGGAGCCTCCGATTTGCCAGCACCCGTGTTATCTCCTTCATCGTCATCTCCTTCATCAATGTCTTCTTCCACACCATTCTCCTCTGGCTCAAAATCACTCGCATCCTCTTCATCTTCAGCTTGACCAACTGGCCTCACTAAGTACTCTGTTCCAAGATCCTCCTGCAAATATTCCATATGACAAAACCCAAGCAACCATAAGATCTTCTCAGTTTCATCGACTTTTCATCACAGGACAATTTACGCAAGAACCCAGAAAGATAAGGACCAAAAAGGCATATACTTTGGCAAAAGCTAAGAACTCTCTAATCTAATTGGTTCACGAATCCTTAATTTTGAATTTCAATTAGAGTCAGAAATTGAGTAACAGAGTTTACTCTGTTCCTTTCTACCTCAGGCTCAGACAAAACACTGTGTCAGAAAATTTTACACAAACAGAAACTTCAAAAACTTAAAAAATCCACTTTTTTATTTCGGGGAAGAAAGTATAAACCCTAATTTGGGGATAAAACAGGACACTTTCTAGTTACAGTATCAAAAACATTCAAGGAAAGTTTATAGATTCTGTTAAAAAAGTTACTTAGTTTAAACAGATCCAGTCTTTCTTCATCAAAGATTCAGACTCCTACTAAGCTAATTAGGCGCAGAAAACACCAGATCTACAATTTCATCACAGAGCTTAAACCCTAAATCAATTTTAAAGAGTGTATAAATTCAAAGAAAGAAACAAAATTGATTTCATCTCAGAACCATACCTCATCTTCACCGTCCTCGTCCTCATCATCATCGTCGTCGTCATCGTCGTCATCACCATCATCGTCGTCGTCTCCGTTTCCGTCTTCATCACCTTCCTCGTCTTCGTCTTCCGCTGACTGTACCGGCGGCCCACCCAAGGATTGCAAAACCTGAACATCATCGTCATCGTCTTCCTCCTCATCGTCATCTCCTTCACTTCCGTCATCATCTCCATCGACTTCTTCTTCCTCGTCGTCGCTACCTTCTTCTCCTCCGTCTTTAACTTCCTCTTCACTATCGTCGTCGCTGAGAATCACGGTATCCTCTTTGAACTCCTTGTCATCATCAACTCCCGTCATCTTCTTCCGAAAACAAGTAAAGATTTTCTCGAGAAAATTCGATTTTTCCTGGAGATTTTTTGTTCTTAACCGAAAGAGAGAGAGAATGGTTTGAAGCTTCGACCAAACAGCACAAAGCAGTACCGTCTTGAAAATTAGATCTCAACCGTTGAATCAAAAACTGACGCGGATCGGTGACGTGGCTTTTAATCGGACGGTTTACGTGATAGAACAATGTGGTTTTGATGAACAAGGGTTAAAAAGATGCCGCAAGCGATACAGCGGCGGGCCAAGCTGAATAAAAAAAAATTGAAGATTATTGTCCTTTTTCGTGAGAATCACACGTGCGACATGTGATAAGATTTTTTAATATATTATATTAGGTTTCTCATCGAATATTCTAGCCTCTCTAAAGCATTTTAATGAGACCCAATATGCTCTTATGAAGGCCCAATGGACTGTAACAAGACTCATTACACTTGTAACCTGTTGTTAAACATGTCCGCCTTTTCCAGTTTTGATAGTCTTAGGCTTATTTTGTTTAATTTAAAGAAATAATGTAGTGTGTAATTTGTACCCCAAAAAAAACATTAAAACTGAGAATATTTTTTTATGTCATTATATCAAATTTCATTACAAGAGCCCAATGGTTTCAGTCATTACATAGGTCATGGGCTTTTCCGTCAGTGCAAATGTCAAACGGTAGTGTTATTTGATGTGTTTGTATTTTCTGTAGCTAATTTTTTAAATACAACAAAAGGTTGGCAAAAAGATAGAGCATCCATCTATGTAGACTAATGGAACTACAGTAGTGACTAAAAGGTTGGCAAAAAGATAGAGCATCCATCTTTTACACTCACTGAATTATTTTATGTAAGTGATGTGCAGCGAGAGTACTTCAAGGATCGAAAGGGGAGATAGCTGCTCAGTACTTCAAGTCCATGTTTACTTCCTCCTACCCGCAGAACCCTCAAAATCTGTTCGTAGGGTTCAGCTCTAGGGTATCCGAGGTAGTCAATAATTCTCTGGTTAAGGAGGTGTCAAAGGAAGAAGTTAGATTTGCTGTTTTTGCGATCAAAGGGGAGAGTGCTCCTGGTGCGGATGGGATGACAGGGGTCTTCTACCAACAATATTGGGATATTGTAAGAGCTCAAATCACTGATGAGGTTCGGACCTTCTTTAGAACAGGAGAATTTCCAAGGGAATGGAATTTTACTCAGATTTGCTTGATTCCGAAGAAAACAGGTTCGCCTTTAATGTCTGATATGAGACCAATCAGTTTGTGTTCTGTGCTGTATAAGGTAATCTCAAAGATTTTGGTTTCTCGGGTTAAGCCCTTTCTGGCAGACTTGGTAGCTCCTAATCAATCTGCATTCGTAGCGGAAAGGTTAATATCAGACAACATTCTGATTGCTCATGAGGCGGTTCACAGTCTTAGAACCCACTCGAGGATATCGAAAGAGTATATGGCTGTCAAAACAGACATGTCTAAAGCGTATGATAGAGTGGAGTGGAGCTATCTCGAAGCTTTATTGAAAACTATGGGGTTTCATCAGAAATGGGTAAAGTGGGTGATGTTTTGTGTCACATCGGTGACATATGAAGTTCTAATTAATGGACAACCCCACGGTTATATAGTTCCGCAGAGGGGCCTGCGTCAAGGAGATCCGCTCTCTCCTTTTCTTTTCGTTCTATGCACGGAGGGTCTTACGCATATGATGAACATGGCAGAGCGAAGTGGTTTGATTAACGGCCTTCAATTCTCAGAAGAAGGGCCAGTGATTCATCATTTGTTGTTTGCAGATGATACGCTCTTCCTGTGCAAAGCTTCGACGGAGCAATGTGGGACTATTCAAAGTATCCTCAAGTTATACGAGGAGGTTTCTGGACAAACTATAAATGTCGGAAAATCCTCAATAACCTTTGGTGCGAATGTGGGGGCACAAACCAGAGCTTTAGTCAAGACAAAGCTTGGCATTAGCTGTGAAGGAGGAGCGGGAACATACCTTGGTCTGCCGGAATGTTTTAGCGGGTCTAAAGTTGAAATGTTAGACTTCATAAAGGATAAGATGAAAGGGAGAATGGCGGGATGGTATATGAAATCTCTTTCTCAAGGTGGGAAAGAAGTGCTTCTGAAGTCAATTGGGATGGCTATGCCTGTGTTCGCAATGATGTGTTTCAAGCTTCCAAAGACAACGTTGGATAATCTGGCCAGTGCAATGTCTGATTTCTGGTGGCAGGCAACTGAAAACATCAGGAAAATTCACTGGAAAAGCTGGAAGAAAATGTGTATCCCAAAGGATCAGGGAGGGCTTGGCTTTAAAGATATTCATTTGTTTAACCAAGCGTTATTGGCTAAGCAAGCGTGGAGGCTCCTCCAATCTCCCAACTGTCTGTTCGCAAGATTCATGAAGAGCAGATATTTTGACGATCATGGGTTCTTAGAAGCTGAAATGAGTGCGAGACCCTCCTTTGCTTGGAGGAGCATTCTACATGGTAGAGAATTGTTAAAGAAAGGGCTAAGGCCGATGGTAGGCAATGGAAGATCCCTAAGGGTTTGGTCTAGTTTATGGATCAATGATGGTAAGATGCGTGCACCTCTCATGAAAAATACTTTGGTCAACATCGACCTGAGAGTGGAGAATCTACTTAACCTCTCAACTAAATGGTGGGATTTAGATAAGTTGAATGAGCTGTTCTTTGAAAGAGATGTTGCTATCATAGTTAAGAGTCACCCATCGGTGGGAGAAGATGATTTCTGGGCTTGGGGGCATACTAAAAGTGGGGAGTATTCAGTGAGCTCGGGGTATTGGTTTGCGTCGCAGACCTTCTTGACGAAGGAGATGATTGAGGCAAATATGCAACCATCGCTAAACGGATTAAAGAATAGAGTTTGGAGGATCTCTTCTCCTCCAAAGATCCAAAACTTCCTATGGAAGGTATTGAGTGATGCTGTTCCCGTGGCAGATAATTTTGCAGTAAGAGGGATGCAAATAGATTCCAGATGTCAAATCTGTGGGCTGGAAGGAGAATCTTCTAATCACGTTCTCTTTACATGCACGAGGGCAAGACAGGTTTGGGCCCTTTCCTTGTTTCCCTACCCTGAGAATGGATTCCATGAGGAATCAATGTACCAAAATATGTCTTATATTATGGGAATTGGGGTTGATACAAGAGTTCCTATTGGAATAAGAAGAGTTTTCCCTTGGATTATGTGGTTACTCTGGAAGAACCGAAACAACTTCATTTTTGAAGGAATGGTTTTCCAAGCGCTTGATACAATTAAAAAGATTAGAGAAGATTCTTCTGAATGGTTCAGAGTTCAAGCTGATGAGAAAGAGGTACAGGACAAGTTTAATCGATTAGCTAAAGTGGAGAAAAGCAAGTGGAAAGCTCCTGAAATCGGTTGGGTAAAATGCAATATTGGAGTTTGTTAGAACAAGAAGAAGGAATCAGGTGGTGCTTCTTGGGTTTTAAGGGATAATCAAGGAGATACTCTTCTCCATAGCCGAGTCTCCTTTGTCAGGGTGAAGACTAAACCTGAAGCTACAAAGAAAGCTTGGTCTTGGGCAATCAATAGCATTATCAGTTTCTCTTTGAAAAATGTGGTTTTTGCTGTTGAAGATGTAGTTCTGGTGGGAGCTGTGCTTCGACCGAAGGCATGGCTTTTTTTTAGGCACCATGCGTATCATTTCAGGTCCCTTCTCTCCCTAATCGTTGGTTGGAAAATTGAAGTGGAAGCAAAAGGAGCGAATAGTGGAGCTAGGTTTATAGCTCAGAGTGTTACAGGGGAGGATCGTTGGCAATCATATGTAGCAGCTGGGTTTCCAGGTTGGCTTAAAAATCTTTTTGTGCATGAAAAGAGTGTTGCACTTTTGTAATTCTCTCGGTTAAGCATTACTGTGATTGCTGTGGATCCTTTGTTTTTGGCCTTGTGTAACATCTTCTTTGGTATATATAAAATCCTTCAGTTGAAAAAAAAAAAAGATGTGCAGCGAGAGCCGTGCCTACATGCATTTAAAAGAAACTTTGGTTTAAAGCAGCAAATTATTGTTTAAATCATAGAGCAGCAGTTTTTTAAAAAGATTTAATAATCTATTTTCTTGTTAGTTATATTGTATTGATCTCAAATATAAATATAGATTTATACATATATAAGTTTACAAATGAGAAATTAACAACAATAAATCAAATTGTTATTATAGGAAATGACCCTAAAAAAAAGAACTAAAACAAGGAAAAAATTAAACCATATAATTTCTTTCTTTCCATCTTTCTACTGGTCTAACATTAAGAAGTTTATTATTACAATTTTTCTATATTTTTGTAACAATTGTTTTTTCAGCACTCTAACAATTAGATATAATGAAGATATTTTTTTTTTTACTTTTTGTTATTTTATTATTTTTAAAAATAGTTTTCATCCATATCCATAATTGGTAAAAATAAATTAAAATTTTGGTCAATAATTTTGGAGTAAAAAAAAGTTTTAGAACTGCAATTTAATTTATTTAGTTTCATTTTATGATCTTTACTATGTAATAATTATATTTATTATTATAAAAATATAAATAAGGGCATTTTAGGAAAAAAATTGTTTATGATATCAAATAAGGTTGGCACGGCTCTGTGTGCAGCTAGAGTGTGTGAAAGTTTGGAAGATTTATGTTCATAACACTTTTAAGTTTTGCATTTAAAAACCAGTAAAAACAATTTATGCATTTCAGTATCTTTCTTGTTTAAAAATTTCAAATAGAATTATATTTCAGAGTTTTATATATGTATTTGAAGGATATGGAAGTTCGTATGTATGTTAACTTATTTATGTATCTACATGTAATTTTAGTCTTATTTATGTATCTACATGTAATTTTAGTTTCGGATAATCTTCTGGATTTTTTGTTTTCTTGTAGATACTTGCAGACATATTGTAACTACGTGAATCTGAGTTCTGAATCGGATATGGACAATAGATTTTGTTACGGGCTTATTGTCGGATATGGACAATAGATTTTGTTACGGGCTTATTGTCAGATAGTGCGCATTCTGAAAATTCTGGACAACCGAAAACATGCTCAATGTGACAAATTTCATATATTAAACTTTGTGATGCTTAATGTGACATAGTTAAAATATTAGACCTTGTGAGCATAATTCAGGGAAATAAACATCTTCATTTATTTAACCAATTCGTGATTTAAGTTACTTTTATTGCCGTTTTCCTCTATGTGTAAGACTCCAAACGAGAAACTTGTTTTCACATTAATCAATAGTATTTATTAGTACCTTGTTTTGAAATTGTTTGCATCTTGATTGGTTGTAAAACGCGATGGGATTTTTTTTTGTTTTTTATATGATGATCGAATGATTGAATAATATAAATATCATCTATTTATGAAAAGGACTTCTCTTATTGAACTTATCTTTTCGTTGTTTTGCCTAAAAAGCAACAAAAATAGATAAAATGGCTTTAAGAGAGAAAGAAAAAATGCTTTAGGTGGTCATATTTTGTCAAATGAAATGTCTTAAATAACTCAAATAAAAGTTTGCTTTATTTACTTTTAGATTTATCCTTTTATTCTATATGATGTGATGGCTCCACCATGTAACTCAGCAACTCGCAATGCTTACCGTTACGAATGAATAAAGGTAAAAGCAAACTAGGGATGAGCAAAAGCTATCCCCTTGATTAACTACTAGTGTAACACGCTAACCTCAACTGTTGGATCCACATGGCGATGTTTCATAGATGCGGTTCGTTGGAAAGTGATAGAAACTTTAATACTTTGGGCCAACATTAATAACAATACGACATACTATATTTTTGTTGTTTTATCAACGGTGTAATTGTAAATCATAGTATAATATCCGTAATATATAATAAACATATACAAAAAAATTTCAGGGTCGAAATTATAAAGTGTTGTGAAGTAAGTGAACAAAAAATTGTCATATAGCAAGCATTTTAAAGAGTTGAAGAGTTGTATTTGAATTTATTGCGCGTTGTTATTTATTGGGGTTAATTACGAGGCTTGTATATTTTGTTATAATTTGAGATTTTTCAGTGATGATTATGTAATTAAGTTATGTAATTAAGCTATGTAAACTAAACTTAAAATGAAACGTTTTCTTATATTACTATTTAGCTGTAATTCATACCTTTGGATTTAATCATGCGTAGCATAATAGATAATAGAACCACTATCACATGATTCGCAACTCTTACTGTATTAAGAAATTATTCGCCACAAAATACCACTAAATAGTTTCCAACATATATAACGATGTGATCAAGTTAGATCACGAAATTTAGCTAGTTACTCCCCATTTCACACAGATATGTATTTAATCAAAAGAAATATGATCAGTTAAAGAAAAATATTCAAAAGCAACATAAAAATTTTATATTCAAATTATTACTACACTTGCATAGTTTTACGCACGAATATACATTCATTATTGTTTGACTAATATTAATGTGGCACACTATTTATATTTTTACCAATACTGTTATACTAGAGAAACTAAAAATTTACTCATAGAACTAGCTAAAAAAAGTTTAACAACATACAAAACAAGAATTTGATTGGACAAAAATATTAATTAATTAAAATATATTGCGTGTAAATATCAGAAATGATAACTTTTAAACTTTGGGAATTATAACGTATTTTGGTAAAGACACCATCGATTCGATTATATATATATATATATATCGGAGACGTGCACTACACAGAGAAAATCAACACACGCAGGGCAGAGACACATACTTATATAACTGTTATTCACCGAAATCAAAGCATATCCTCCATCTTTTACACAAAAAGATAATCATCAAATAATAATTAAGAGAGAATATGAAGAAGATGATGGTGATGATGGTGATGATGGTGGTGAGTGAAGCGAGTATAATAGAGAAGACATGCAAAGAGACACCAGACTTCAATCTCTGCGTGTCTCTCCTCCATTCCGATCCACGTGGCTCCTCTGCCGACACCTCTGGTCTCGCTCTCATCCTCGTCGACAAAATCAAGGTCTTTAATTTTCTTCCCCGATCTATTTTCTTTCATATATATATATATATATATATATTCTTGTTTTTTGTTCAACATGTTTTTCCCATATCATTAATCAATCTATTCCGTTACAAACAAACAGAGGGAATTAACCATCCTCTTTGAAGCAATAATTGACCTTCCTCTTTCATATATACCTAATTAGTTCAATTTATAATAAAATTTATCATATCTAATATTCTTACAAGAATGTGAACTGTGATCAATATTTCCTTCTTTTTCAGTATAGTATATAATCAATTATTTCAGTTCAAATTGAAGTACTATACTTAATTTGTTTATAAGAATGAGATATTTGATTAAGATTTGCCTCACTTTCAGTAATCAGTATATACCACCAATTATGTATGAGTCGCTTTTTTTGTTCGGGGCTTGGTTAATTTGAGTAAATAAAAACTTATAAATTAATAAAAAACTTTTTTTATAATTTTTATATTTTGTTTAAAACCAACCAGTTATAATTTGTTTATAAGTATAATTTTGTAGGGGTTGGCGACAAAGACTTTGAACGAGATCAACAATCTGTATAAAAAGAGACCGGAATTGAAATATGCTTTGGATGAATGTAGTAAAAGATACAAAACGATTTTAAAGGCTGATGTTCCCGAAGCCATTGAAGCTATCTCTAAAGGAGTTCCGAAATTTGGCGAAGACGGTGTGATTGATGCTGGTGTCGAAGCTTCTGTATGTGAAGAACGGTTTGAAGGGAAATCTCCATTGACTAGTTTGACCAACTCAATGCAAAAAATCTCTAATGTGACTAAGGCTATAGTGAGAATGTTGCTTTGATTTTTATCTTATGTTAATACAAGCATGTGTTATCAGTGTTTGATGGGATTTTATCCTTCATTATATAAATAGTTAAAAACTAAAGAATCTCATATTTAAGTGTGTTGTTAAATCTGCTAGATAAAAGAAATTTGATGTAATATCTTTATAATTGTTTATTTTCAATAAGAAATTTATATATAGTCGTTGCTAACAATTGTATACATATATTTCTTCTCTAATTTCCAATTTGTTGAAAGAGAGGATAAAAAAAATAAGACTATTTTTAACTATGTGAAGGATAGAAATCACAAAACTTTATAGCTTCCAAACTCAAATAGAAGAACCACTCATGATAAATGGTTTAGCCAAATTGATTAGATTTCGGAGCTATTTAGAAAGCCCGAACATAAGTTGTGCAAGTGCAATTGTTCTATATAGTTCATTGTACTTTTTTTAGTAAAACTGTATGCATAGTTTTCAATTTATTGAGCTTATTAATTGATATTAAACATATAGTTAACTTGCAATATGTAGATATTGATATTAGTGTAATAAATTAGTTAGTTTGAGAAATGGTGAAGAAACTCAGTAATTGTATGTTTTACGTTTTATCTCAAACATAATCATAATCATGATGGGTTATTTAAATAAAAAAATTAAAAAATATACAAAAAGATAAAAAAATTAAGATGAATATGCTAGATTTTCATTTGAAATCATTTTAATAAGAATTATCATTTTATTATTTCGAACCGCTATCCAAATGAAATGAAAATCCGACATATTCGTCTATGGCTCTGAATCTGGAAGCTATAGTTCTTTCGAATCATGTTTTTATTGAAATGGCTTCAATAACCGTGGACAATATCGCTCATCCACAATCTCTTCTCTAACGAAAGTGTTACAGAATGCTTGCATCTTTTGTAAACAACCTCTATCCCTTGTCCATAATGTTCACAACTTCTTGAATCGATAGTGTGATCTGATGATTAATTGCTTTATGGAACTTGAGCTCATTCTCAAACTGGCGAGTGCTTGACACTGCATAGCAGATATTGGCCTTTTGGTCTATTGGCAAATCCAAAAGCAACTCCACAAAAGGCTTCCAGCCAAAATGAAGCTCAAACGCCATATCAACCTAGTAAGAAATATGCGTTTGTGTGTAATATTGTCTTTCTAAAGACTCTCACCAAATTAATTAATAATATTTTTGTACATGGATAATTATTAGTTAATTATCAATAACTAATCTTATTATGGATGTTCATATTTCATGATACACTTGGTTCATAAGTTTTCTGTTACTTTTTTGGCTAACAAAATATATATAACCAAAATTGTAATCAATGAAAACTCAATTTATAAATTTAGTGTAAACATTTTTATTGGTGAATTTAGTGGTAAATGCACACTTGGTAGGATCATAAGATTTTGGGAACAAATTTTACCAAACATCCATTGTTTATCGTTAGTATGCAATATACATTATCTAGTAATCGATTAAATTGATATAAATTCAGGTTAACATGTAAATATAGTCGGTATCCTTCATTCTACAGAAAACAACAAATTAGTATAAACTATGAAAGTTTACAATTGACTCGGTCGGGATATGGATTCTTGAACCAAAAATTAGAACATTAACTTCTGCTATCCAATTGAAAGCATGTTCATAAGTTTTCAGTTCAAGAAATTGAGAATGTGTGATTCGAATATCAGAAATATGCAACAATTACATTTGTGTTTACATTGACCGAAATTAATTGAGATAGCCGAAATTCTCAGATTTTTTTTCTCGAGTAAATCTATAATTTTGGTTTAAATTGGCACATAATTAACAATCAAAATAACCGTTAACCAAACCGAAATGACCCATCATTTTATTCGGGTTTATTCAATATCCGAATAAATCGAATAAAACGGTCAGTTCGGTTGCGAGTAACTAAAAAATCCGAGGCCTCTACCGAATATTTTAGTACAAAATGCTAGTTTACTTAACACGTGCTTGCACTTAGACTTTTGTGTTATCTCTTTCGATAAACTAAAAATTAAATGCCATTGCTCCTCCATCGTCTCCTCATTCTTTCTCTGCAGCTCAATGGCTTCCAAATCAATCTCAACAAAGAATATCTCTTGTCTTTTTTTTTTAAACTCTATTTATATTAGTAGGAAACAGTTACAATTGATGCCCCACAGGGTTACAACTCATGATCTCAGAACGATCTGCAATTAATGTAAAGCAAAAACTTTAACAAAAAAATGGGTTAGTAAATCGAGAATCAGGTGGAGAGGTACGAAACTGATGAAGGGGTGTTTGGAAGCGCCCAAGAGAGAGTCTAGTCGAGCTCGAAGCAGTCTCTTGATGTCTTCCACAATAGTAACCGTCGGACGGGAGACCGCTGTATGAAGTCTAGAATTCCTTTCCTTCCAAATAGCATATAAAGAAGCTTGGAAGGCGAGTCTGATGATGAGGGCGACATTCTTGGTAGCCGGAGGGCTGGCCATCCAGTTGAGCAGCAAAGCGAAAGGCAGAGGAGGATGGACGTTTGCAGGCGTGGTAAAAGCCATCCACACCTCTTGGCTGTATGAGCAGTTAAAGAATAAGTGATCTCTCGATTCGTCAACCGAGTTGTAGAGGAGGCAGACGGTGGGGATATTCAGACCCCAATCCTTAAGCCTGTCTCTAGTGTATAGCCTGTCTCGAGCAGCTACCCAACAAATAAAAGCGTGCTTTGGTATCCTTCTAGAAAACCAAACTGCTCTATTCCAGGTGACAGCGGGCGGGCATGGGTGAAGGAATTTCCAAGTAGCCGAAGCTGAGAATGCTTTCGGGACCCCTTGAGAACCTAGTTTCCACTTATAGTAGTCATCCTCCTCGGCTGTGGCTATTGGTAGTGGATCTGACAAACACTGCCGGATCAAGGAGATGATAGGATTGCGACTCCTAGAGCCGTGAATCCACCAAGCCCCGTTGCGAATGCAATCCGCCACAACCACCATGCTCGGGATACCACATATTCGAGGTCCTTGTGTACCCGTGAGATTGATCAGAGGACCCATTCCTGTCCAATTTTCATGCCAGAAAAGAGCTGTGAGGCCCGAGCCAACATCACAGCATATGAGGGGCCTAGCAGTGGTTCTTAGTTTACATAACTGCTTCCAAATCCAGCTTCCCGAGTTGGGGACGATAGTCCAGAAGTTTTGAGAGCTGATTAGGTGACGTCTCACCCAGGAAACCCAAAGGGAGCCACTCGAGGTGAATATCAACCAGATAAGCTTTAGGCCCATGATCTTGTTCCAATCCAATAATCTTCTAAGCCCAAGCCCCCCACTCTGCTTTGGTGTACATACTGAATCCCAGGAAATTTTTGCTCCTCTGGCGGATGTAGGATCCGCTTTCCAGTGGAAAGCATTGCACATATTTTCAAGAGCTGCAATGCATTGCTTGGAGAGGATGAAAATGGAAGCCCAGAAGTTAATAGTGGAGAAGATAACTGACTGAAGCAGTTGAAGCCTTCCAGCAAATGATAAATTCCAGACCTTTCACGAAGAGAAACGATTCGAGACTTTGTCAAGCAAAGGCTGGTAGTCGGACCTTGTAAATTTCTTAGAGGTCAATGGAACCCCTAAGTAGCAAATTGGCAGAGAACCCTACGATATACCAAAGCTTTCAGCAAGATGCCGAGCATGGTGAATGTTCCCTCCATCTAGAAAAAGATAGCTTTTCTCACGGTTTATTCCCAGCCTTGAAGCCTCTTAAAGTTATCCAGAATGTCGAGGATCCCCTGAAGCGACTGATCCGAGCCATCAAAGAAGATTAACACGTCATCCACAAAGCTCAAATGGGTGATCAGGGGGCCATTACACTGTGGGTGAATCCCAAACTGACCTGTAATTACACCTTGATCAAGCATTTTAGATAGGACATCCATAGCGAGAGCAAAGAGGAGAGAGGAAATTGGATCGCCTTGCCGAATCCCCCTCTTACCTGGGAAGAAGCCAATCATCTCCCCATTAAACCCAATACTATAAGAAGGGGTAGAGATGCAGATTCTAATCCAGTCGATGAAGCCCTGAGGAAGATCAATAGCTTTGAGGATATTGAGTAAGAATTCCCAATTTAAGCTATTAAAAGCTTTTGTGATGTCAATCTAAAGACATCCTCTCCTGGTTAGCCCCTTCTGATGGAAGCTCTCCACTAACTCAGATACTAGCAGGACATTCTCACAAAGCACGTGAACCTTAATGAAGCCGACTTGATTGGCCTGAACCACTTCATGGATAAAAAGTTGTAGCTTTGCCTTGAGAAGCCGAGCAATGATCTTGTAAATGGTGTTGGAACAAGATACCGGTCTGAACCCTGAGAGATAATCAACACTCTTAGTTTTAGGTATTAGAGTGATTACCGTAGCATTGAAGCGAGGGAAAAGGAAGCCACTAGGGAAGAACTCTGCGACTGCCTTGATGGTATCAGGTTCCACCGTTGACCAAGAGTCTATAAAGAATTCCATTGAAACCCCGTTGGGGCCTGGAGCCTTGTTCTTCGGCATGGCGAATAAGATTTTAGTGATCTCCTCAGGTAAAGGGACACGCAAAAGCTCAGCCGAAATCAGGGTAGGGCAACGATAAGATAGACAGTTGCTTAACTCGGTGACCGAAAAGGGGGTGATGTCCAGAGGAGCCACTCCAAGGAGGTTGAAGTAATAAGAGATGATCATGTCTTTGAGAAGGACCGGATCTTCAATTCTTGATCCATTCGCATCCCGAAGGTGACGGATCAAGTTACTGGCCTGATGAAATAATATCGCTTTAAAAAAGAAAGCCGTGTTTGCATCTCCATCCTTTAGCCAACGAATTCTGGATTTTTGTCGGTAAAACGATTCAAGAGATATTGCAAAGAACAGCCAAGTTTTGCGAGCCTCTGTTTCCTCTGTAAAATAAGAGCAGGGGAGGGGTGTGTTAGCAGTTCACTCTGAATTGATTCCAGCGCAGCTAGCGAGTCTGCAACTTTCTGTTTGATGTTTCCAAACCCCTCCCTATTCAAAGCTCTGCAGCTTCGCTTTGATGCCGTGAGTCACTGACCGAGAGAGAACATTGCACAACCCATACTGATCGGGGCAGACCATGCTTTGGCAATTTCTGCAGCGAAGGCGGGGTGAGTTGCCAAGAAGGAGAAGTATTTGAAACTCTTCTTGGTTCGAGGAGCTTGGGAGTCTAAGGTGATTAGACCTGGAGCATGATCAGAGCCTCCAGGAGGGTCCAAAAACAACAAGAGAATCCAGAAAAGAAGAAGCCCAATGGTCGTTTATGAGGACCCTATCCAATTTGCGCAGCACTGGAGCATGCATACAGTTGTTTGAGCAAGTGAAAAAGACTCCCCTACTCTAAAGATCAACCAGATTATTAGTAGAGAGGCAGTCCTGAAAATCCGCCATACCAGAGAGTGGAAGAGTCGTAGGGAGGATTGAGTAATTCTCCAAGCTGGAAGCTATCTGATTGAAGTCCCCAATGAGTAGCCAAGGAGTAGAGCAAAGCGGCGGTTGTTCATTCAGATAAGTGATTTCTTCCCATAGTCTCCTCCGTTGCCCCTCTGTGTTATTGCCATAGATAAAAATGACACAGAAGGAGGCCTGTGCAGTTGGAGTTTGTACAGCACAAATACCAGTTGTTCAGACATAGAGAGAGTGATTACCGAGGCCACTGGATCCCAAACAACACATATTCTTCTATTATCCGAGAAAGCATAGTTGTTATCATACCGCCAACTAGGAAGAGTGGAGGAAAGTACCGATAGAGCCTATTCCTCCTTCACATGCGTTTCCAAGAGAGCGCCAATGATAGGTTTGTGAAGATTCATCCAATTACAAACCAATCTTTGACGAGAGGAGCTATTTAAGCCGCGAACATTCCAAAAGAAAAGTTGTGTCCCCATTATATACAGCAAAAAAGTGGGGAGAGCCGAGCATTTAATGAGACTGTCTTCCTGACAAGGACTTCCCCTTGTCACGAGTTTAGACTTGAGCCGATTGAAATAACACTGGTGAAGCAGCATCCAGAGCCGCCTGTCGCAATAGCTTCTTTTTCTTCCTCTTAGCCGATTTGGAGAGAACCTCTACAAAAGGATCAGTGGTTTCCGCAGCCAGTGGTAACTCGGAGGGGGGCAGATGAAGTGTCTCTGACGCCTCCTCACAGGGACCAACGGGAAGAGGAAGCTCAGGGGAGCAGAGAGACGAGTCTGAAGCAGGCAGTTCTTCTGTGACCAAATAACCCACTGATAACCGAGGAGGGGAACTAACTGCCCGATCGATGTCTCCTTGCCTTGATCCTGATCGATGTAGGTGGATCTTCGCTCAGAGGTTGGTCAGCGACGATACCAGATTCCAACAAATTTTCAGCAGGAATTGGCTTCGTAGCTTCCGAAGATGCCACTGATTTTTTAGTTAGAATCGTTTTCTTGGGGCGAGGAGACGGGCAACGGTTCAGCAGATGACCGAATCATCCACAGTTGGAGCATTTTGGTGGTAAGCTAGGGTAGGAGACCGAGACCATCGCTGAGTTACCTTGCGAATCCCGAATGACAATAGACTCTGGAGGGGAGCTATCGAGCATTATTTCAACTTTCACTTTTGTCTGACCAATATAAATTGCATCCAGATGGGATTTTTCTGTGTGCAGGGGTTCTCTAATGGTGCTGGCAATTACGCTGATACCATCGAGCGAGTAGAGCATTGGGGGAACATTCTTTAGGATTGCCCAGGTCAGTGCTGATTTGAGCTCCTGAGTTTCAAGCGAGAATTCCAGGGTCCAAGGTGAGACTGTGAAGGAGCAGTGACCCGCATTCCAAAACCCGACTTGCAGGACCCATTCCCTTGTTTGTACCGAGGGAATGAAGATCATACAAGCGAAGTCAGAGATCTTGCGCATCGAGATATTACCAAATTTTTCCCAAATCGGATTAAGGTCATGGTAGACTACCGAGGCCGGAGGGAGAAGACCATGACATTGAGCCACAATGTAACCCTTCTATAACTCAAAGGTTTGGAGGAGGACAGAATCCGGTGCATGTACCACCGGTGTCCCATCGTCGAGGAATGAGGAAGCCGACATTTTCTTTAGGTTACGGAGGGAGGCTTTGAATCTGGTCGCATACGGAACAGCCGGGGCAGAGGGGATTCCTTCTGGAATCGAGGACGGAGGAATTTTGATGTCGGAACCAAGAGTAGACGAGTGACCCATGGAATTTAGGGTTTCAGATGCCACCGGAATAACAGATCCAGGAGGGGCTTCTGAGAGAGCGTCGAGATAGGTAGCCATAGAAGAGCAAGGGAGATAAAGAAGAAAGAGGGGAGAAGTTCTCGTCGACGACGTGAGGCCTAGTCGCCGGCGCATAAAAAGAACGAAAACACAATCGCACTCGCTCTCTAAATCACACACGAAATTGCCAGCTCTGCCATAAATTCTAACACCAAAGGAAGAAGATTTTGTTGTATCTTTCCTCACAATTTAATGCTTTGCCCACAATATGTCAATATCTCTTGTTGTTGTTTGTACCTGAATCATATCATCATGCTACATCACTTAGATTTATGAAAAATAGCCGGCTCGTCCCGGTCAAAAGAAACCGTTCCCTACAAGTCATATAACTTGAATGTCAAGGATCCAAAATCCAAAATCACACAACCGGTTTCTCTTCTTGCTGACTTGGTGGACCAAATATTATTTTTCAACCGGGTCAAAAAAAAATTAACTGTGGATATCAACTATTATATTACTTGGGCACGGACATAAAGCTTTCTTTTATTTTTCTTACAAACTTTCTTATTTAAAATTATATATAATTATTGAATTAATAATGTTTGTAAATTATTTATTTAGTAATAATGATTGGGGATGAAATTCAACATTTGAGGTGCTCAAAACATCTCTGTTACAAATTTAAGGAAGACAACACTTGTGATAGAAGATTTTAAGTAGTTGGCTTATCAAATCCTGATATATATTTATGTAAATGATTAACTATATATTTATGTAAATGCTTAACTAAATTCATATGGTTTTTGCTTGTCAGAAAATAAATATTTTGAAGTTAACAACGTAAAACATTCTATGTGAAGCTGCAACATAGGAGGAACAATGTCATATGTAAAGTAGAGTTTGTTATGCACTGTTGAACCTTAGATCCAACTTAGGATAATTCGTATTTATTGATAACAAGAATCGACAGAGTACAGAACAAGACCGATAAAAGTACTAAAAAGAGGGTTCCCAAAAACTGGGATCCCATCTGAGAAGTTCTAACACGAAAGCCGACCTCTAAAAAAGAGAACCTATTACAAAGCGTGATTAAAGCTAAATTCCGTAAATTCCGGAGCAAAGAGTGTCCTTTTCGTACTGAAATACGGTCCTATATATAGAAGATTAGGGCAGTGGCTGCGTTGGGCTTCGGGGGCTTTCTGACGAAATTGACCTTATTGGGCTTCGTTCTTCGGACTTAGGCCAAGCTGAAGCTGCTGGGCTTCGTTTTTTGGACTTAGGCCGAGCTGAAACTGCTGGGCTTTATCCTTGAACCTGGGCTGAGCTGACACTGCTGGGCATCTTCCTCAAATCTGGGCCAAAACTTCTTTCTTCTCTCTTGGGCCTAGAGCTTGATACGGGCCAAATTAATCAACTGGGCCTTGTAGAGGTCTGGTATCAACAGTAAGCCCCAGCCCCCCCCCCCCCCCCCCCCCAGTCTGTTTGACAAAAAGTTTTGACCTTGAGTCAACGGATTCTTCGAATATTTATTGGCTCGGCACGAATCTGAGTTGGCTTGGAGTGGGTCCGTGTACGGCTTCGTTGCTACGAACGTGGGTCCCGGCATTGCTTTAGGTCAGGTAAGTGTTCCCCCTTTCCTCTCTTGCTTATAAATACTTCTTTCTACTCTCTTTTCCTGCCTCTCTTCTCTCATTCGACACTGTTTATTGCCAAAGTAATTTTTCTCTTCTCCCCTTTTCTGTTTTCTCTCTCGATCTGTTTCTAGTTCTTCCGATTTGTGAGCTCCTCGATTATGAAGTGTTTAGTCTCGGTTGATGGGACCTCCATTAGGCTTTGAGATCGGTGAATCATTGAGGTTGTCATCGCCGGTTTGCGGTGGGGCTCCGATTGTCCTTGTCGCAGCTGCTTCTTCCTAGCTCCGAGGTCGGTCACCATTTTAGTTCTTGGGAGATCAGCAAATCGCATTTTGTCTGGTTCTGTTGGCGTGAGAGTTCTTCGATTCGACTCGGGCGCAACTTGCTTCTTCCTCGGTGTTTTAGTTTGGTTCAGCTGCTGACGGTGGCAGCTTGCTTTAAGAATTTTTCCGATTTCCTGGCTATTTGAGCTTACGTTCGTCGGGTTTCAGGTTCGCTCTTCTAAAAGATTTATGGGCAATCTGTTTTATTTGCGGGACTTCGAGTTATCACTCCACTGTCGAAGGCTTCGTTTGTAAGTCGGGTTTCTAGTGCGAATCGGTCGGCATTTTGCTAAGTTGGCGCAGGTTGGCCAACTAAGGTTAGCTCCTTCCAAATAGTTGATTTTTGGGGTTTGCTTCTTTGCTATAAGTTGATCTTACTTCAGATTAGGGTCGGCTTTTTTCTCTCAGAAATGACCTGTCGTTTTATGTTGGTAGGCCAGTTTAATGTATATCGTTTAGTTGAGGTAGGTCAGCACTTTATCTTGGTAATTTTTGGTCGGCCAATCAATATAGGTCGGCCATTTTGATCTTTCATCTTGTTATCTTGGATTTTTCTCCTTCTTTCCTTTTTGGTAGATCGGCCATCTTTTTTGCTTTTGGTTTTGGGCCTAAAGTCAGCCTATCTTTTGAGATTGGATCGGAAGTAGAAGCGAGTGCGGCGAGAGCGCAGCCGGTGACTTATCGCTTCACGAAATTTTGGTCAGCGTAAAGGCACCAAAGTCTTTAGCGAGAATTTGGACGACTTTGAGGTAGGCGTTCATGTGTTTGTTCTTTGCCTCGTATTCTCCGTTGAATTGGCTCACCACGAGCTGTGAGTTGCAAAATGCTTGAATTTGGCTCGCCCTTATTGCTTTGGCCAGACGCAAGCCGGCGATGAGTGCTTCATATTCTGCTTCGTTATTGGATGCCGTGAACTTGAGTAGGAAAGATTGGTCAAAGATTTCTCCGGTTGGAGATGTAAGTCTGACTCCAATTCCTGACCCATTGCGAGATGACGAGCCATCGAAGTACAAGGACCATATCTCCTTAGTTGGGAGGTCTTCACTGGCAGCCCCTGGTGGGAGCTCTATTAAGAAGTCTGCAAGAACTTGGGATTTTGCGCACGTTCTGTTCTTGTAGTCGATATCGTACTCGCTTAATTCGACGGCCCACTTGGACATTCGGGGGTGATTCGACAAGACGGTGACAGAGTGGGATTGAAAATACGGTTGCAGCTTTCTAGCTGCGGTGACTACTGCCAAGGCTAACTTCTCAAGCGTTGGATACCTTGTTTCAGGATCATCAAGTGACTTGCTGACATAGAAAATCGGCTTCTGCTCGCTGCGATCTTCTTTGACTAAGACTCCGCTGACCACGGAATGAGAGACTGTGACGTAGAGGTATAAGGTTTCGCCAAATTCGGGTTTTACTATCACAGGCGGAGTTGATAGATATTTCTTGAGTTGTTTGAAAGCCTCTTCGTATTTATCATCCCATTCGAACTTTTTGTTTCCTCGTAGGAGCTGATAGAAAGGTAGGCACATGTCTGTTGACCGGGCGATAAACCTGTTAAGGGCTGCGATTCTACCCGCCAGGCGCTGTACTTCTCTTGTGTTCTTCGAGAAAGGGAGTTCGAGGAGTGCGGCGATTTTCTTGGGGTTAGCCTCGATTCTCCGTTTGGTGATGAGATAACCTAGAAATTCTCCCTATTTGACGGCAAAGGTGCACTTGGCCGGTTTAACTTCGTGTCATACTCGTTGAGGCTTTTGAAACATCGTGCGAGGTGGTCGATATGATCGTCGGCGTTGGCCGACTTGACAAGCATATCGTCGATATATAGCAATACGTCCTGCGCTCTGTGATGAAAGAATTTTTCTCCCGGTCATCAGGATGCATCATAATTTGATTGTACCCGGAAAATACGTCCATAAACGACAAGATCTCATTCCCGGCTGTTGCCTCTACGAGTCGGTCTATATGGGGAAGAGGGAAGCTTTGTTGAGGTCAGTAAAGTCAATGCAGACCCTCCACTTTCCATTCTTCTTTTTGTCGACCACTGGGTTGGCCAGCCATTTTGGGTATCGGACTTCCATGATAGACCCCGCCTTAGACAATCGTTCTACTTCGTCGTTAACTGCTTGTGCTGGACCGAGCTTACGTCGCTTCTGCTTGATCGGTTTGTATGTTGGATCGACTTGTAACTCGTGCTGAACGAGAGACGGTGGAACTCCTTTCATATCTTTTGCGGCCCAAACGAAAGTCGATACATTCTGACAAAGAAATTCGACGAGCCGATCGCGCAGGTCGTCACTTATCTCTGTCCCAATGCCGATGCACTGCTCGGGATCTTGTGGGTCGATGTTAACCTGCGTAATGTTTTCTCGTTGCTGATCGTCGGGAGGTGGGAGTTCGTTGCAGATGTTCGTCATAACGAGGCATGTTTGAGCCGCCTTTCTGATCTTCTGCTCGGTGATAAAACACGCACTTGCTAAATGTTGATTTCCACAGACCGTGAAGATATCGTCCGACGTTGGGAACTTGAGGCATTGGTGATAAGTGGATGGTACCGCCTTCATTTCATGTAACCAAGGTGTCCTTAGGATTACATTGTAAATCGCTGGTTTTTCGATGATCACGAACTTAACTATCTTGGTGATTCTTCCGACGCATACGGGGAGCTTAACGGTCCTGATGGTCATAGTTTGGTCCCCATCAAATCCAGTTAATGGCCTTACGCAGGCCTTGAATTTGTAGTTTTGCATCTCCATTCGTTGTAACGTTTCTTTAAACATCAGATCCAAGGTGCTTCCGGTGTCGATCAAGACCCTTTGATTCTGAGTTCGATGACTAGGCAGTCGTTGTGCGGTGTGTGGAGTCCGTCGGTATCGGTTTCATCAAAGGATATGTCGGCACCGATTTTGAGTTCGTCGCCGGGGTTGTGTCTCGAAAGATGGACCGCGGTAGATTTTCTCTCGTTGTCCTTCATTGATCGTACAGAATCCCTATATGATGGAATGCCTCCCATGATCATATTAATTCTTCGCCTCGGAGGACCTTGGCCGTTTCCTTTTTCCTGGTCGTCTCGCCCACGCTTCGGCTGCTCCATGTCTGAATCAATAGGACCGGCCTATTGACTCACTGTTGCGCCGGTCGGCTGTTGCTTGGCCTCCACCTGGGTGAGTCGGAAACGTTTGCCCTTGTTTTTTGGCTGAGCAATATTGTTTGGATCGGTGGGCTGCAGGGAAACGCCACTCCCA